AAGGTTGGCATTTGTTATTACTATTATAGCTATTTCAATATTGTATACTGCAAAAACAGTGGTTATGCCAGAGAAGAAAAAGCGTGACGTCATAGAGCGAAACTGGTGCCATTTTGGTTTCATCGGCCCCGAATTACCATCAAGCAAGTCTCAAACCACATACTGCAGAAAAAAAACGTAAAATGGTGTTGCCCAAGCCTGATATTTGGCGACCTTTCGGGTTTTAGCTCTGGACACTTAGATGGGCCAGAAGAAGTGCATAAACACTTTCCAACCCATATCATGATTTTTTTAATTAAAAAAACTGACATCTCTCTTTTCCGTTGTACCCTTCATCTGTACAACGCTTATCCCCTCTCAACAGAAAGCACTATGCGCTTTCAAATCTATATTATTACCCCAGCAGACCCCAGAAGCCACAAATAAGTTATAGTTCATTACAAAAAGTACCCTTTTCTACGACAGGAACATTTCATTTTCTTTTTCCAATCACAAGAGACTAATCGTGAACATTTCGGCTTTAACACTGTTTTTACCTGTAGAAGAAGAAGAAGAAGAAAAAGGAGAAGAAGGAGAAGAAGAAGAAGAAGAAGAAGAAGAAGAAGAAGAAGAAGAAGAAAAAGAAGAAGAAGAAGAAGAAGAAGAAGAAGAAGAAGAAGAAGAAGAAGAAGAAGAGGAAGAGGAAGAGGAAGAGGAAGAGGAAGAAGATATAAATAGCATATTATTATTTCATTCTGCGCTTTTCCATTTTCTTTTTAATAAATGCCCAATGTGCACTACATGTACTTTTTTATAACAGTATCACACATCAGACAGAGAGAGAGAGTGACAAAGAGTAAAAAAGAGAGAGAAAGAGAGAGAGACAGAGACAGAGACAGAGACCGAGACAGAGAGACAGAAGAGAGAGAGAGAGGGGGGGGAGGGGGAGAGAGAGAGGGGGAGAGAAGAGAGAGACTGGAGAGAGAGATAGTGAGACAGAGAGATGGAGAGAAAAAGAGATGGAGAGACAGAGAGAAAAAGAAGTAAAAAGACGCTCTGAAAAAGACAGAGAAAACGAAAGGACCGAGAAATAGAGAGAGAGAGAGAGAAAGAGGGGAGGGAGATACAGAGATACAGAGAGAAAGAAAGATTAAGAAAACGGGACGTTTGCGGCAAAAGAAACCAACCAACAACCAACAACAAACAAACTAGTCGCTTATCTCATCATGAAATGATGTGACATCTCCAAACAAAAATTAATGGCTCATGTATAAGATTGTGCAACATCATTGTAAAATCAGGCGCACGTCAAAATGATGAACACAAAGAAACCGACATTTTACCGCCCTTAGGCAGTTTCCTACGATTTCTTAAATATATTTAATACTATTTTTTGTTATTTGTTTGTTGCTGTTTAGTAGTGTTTTTGTGGGGCTTTTTTTGTTTTGTTGTTGTTGGGGGGTTTGGGGGCTTTTTTTTCTTAATCCTTGAATATTCATTAAAAACGTATTTTAATTCTGTGTTGATTTTATTTCTTAAAAACGTTGATAAAAAGGGGAAAAAAAGTAAATTAGCAGTTTCCAAGAACGCCCTTGCTTTGGGAGTCATCAAGCGTTGGCAACTTTAAGCTTGCTAACTTTACTCATGAAACCAAGTGCCCTCCCCCTCCCCTCCCAAAAAGACCCCTCCTTCAATCGCTGATATCTCAACCTCTTTCTCCTTACGTCAAAAGCAAGGTAAACGAACAGGTTGTAAGAGTGTTCGAATAACTCCATCATCTGCCCACAATTTGACGAGCACCCGATTCCTCCGCGTCGAGACACAAACCTATCAAGCAAAGGCGAACACGAACGTGTTACATCGAGGAGCAAAAATCCACAAAGGTACATCCGCTTTCGACCTAGACCTGAAGCGATAATCATTTTCCAGACCGAAGAATACATATCAACGATTAGCTTGACGTTCTCACGTGATATTCCATAAGACCCTTGAACAAAAATGAACTTAACTTTTCAATAGTTATCAAGAGGGGGCTCTCGTGGTCTAGAGTACGTGTTGACTCTCATTCTCATTCAATAGGTTCCGTGTTCAAAATCTGACATCGGCAGAAAATATTTTTCTTCTAAATTTTCTCCTTTTCTCCTTTTCGTGCTCTTGAGCCATGTTCTGTCGTCTGCTTTCGTCCCCACTTTCTGCCCCCCCCCCTCTTTCTACTTCTACTCCTTGGCTCCTTTTAGCCTCACCACTGATCTTAAGGTAGGTATGGTCGAACACCTAACCTTCTCGGATAAGGGCAAAAAATCTCGGAGATCCCATGTGCAAGTTGCGCACGTTAATAATCCTTTGGCCGTCCTAAAATCGATAAGAATAAGCTTCGTCCACAACCCGGGAAAAATTTAAATTACATGTAAATCCTACTAAACTGATAATGCTTGATGTCTTCCGGGCGTTCGTAGGACCGTATGCAGTTGCGAGACCCGAAAAATGCTTACAAAAAAGTTATTAACGCGCCTGCATCAATAATTGATAGGGTGAATGACTTACAAACAGCTTCAAAATCCGGTCTCTCGGTGCGAGTACGTGTCCAACGCCGGTGGACAGCCTGGGGGAGGTAGAATAGGCGATAAAAGCTAGGGGGAAAAAACCCTCAAGAATCAAATAACCGAATACTACCAAATAGAATTGTTGTTCAATTTCTCTTATCGTTTCACCTCTTGTGTTAAAATGATAATCACTGTATCTACTTACTGACATTCTGACAGCCAATGATTGTCTGATACAAATAAAAGGTCAGTCACATGGCACCCGACAAAAACGGACACAGACAAAAGTACAAAATTAAACAAAAACAAAACATTATCGACCAACTCACATGTGACGGACTTAACTTTTTTTTTTAGCCCACAACAAGAAATATTAGTATGCACATTATGACCCTCCACACTATTGTTATGAAGGCAATGTAAATGAAACATTTGAAATCAATTTCATGAGCTAACGATAATTACCCCCCTCCCCCAATCCTCCACACAAACCCCAACAAAAATAAACAAATAAATAAATAATAAGTACATGAAATATAATAAATAAATTAAACAACATAAATATAATAGATAAACTTAAAGACAAAATTACATAAGTAAATAAATAAATAGATAAACAAATAAATAAATAAATAACAAAAATGATACAAACCTGGACGCCAAGTTTCAAATATGAGTGAACAGGCAATAGAGAGTTCTGTAAGGTTAAAGACTTGGGTTTTTTAAGATAATTTAGAGTCGATAGTTGTTGCATATCACGTCAAGTTTTGCTCTAAATCTATAGATAAGTGGCCTCATTTCAAATCAATACATGCATAATGAAATTCACACTATTTTTTAAACAGCATAGCCCATAGTTTGATTCAAGTTTTACCCGACTATAAACAAAAGATCCCACCAGTTTGTCTGTTTCCCAGCTTTATCAGCTGCTTGCACAGTATGCTTCCCAAAGTTTCTGAGCCTTCTGCCGTTTTCTCCTTCTTCTTCTTCTTCTTCTTCTTCTTCTTCTTCTTCTTCTTCTTCTTCTTCTTCTTCTTCTTCTTCTTCTTCTTCTTCTTCTTCTTCTTCTTCTTCTTCTTCTTCTTCTTCTTCTTCTTCTTCTTCTTCTTCTCCTCCTCTCTGTTCTCTGCTTTCCTCAGATAGTCACCCATCATCGTCTTCCCTGTCCACTCTGTGATGTTGTTCTCCTATCTCCTTCTCTTCCTTCCACTCTTTCTCTTCCTTGTACGGTTCCTTGTAGGATTGTTTTGGCAATTCCTGTGAACTTTGTGATGTGCCTATACCATTTTAATTTTCGTTTCTTTACTGTGGTCAGATCTTCATGCTGCTCCACTGTATTTGTGATTCTGTTCCGTACCTCAGCATTTGAAATGTGTTCTTTGTATGAGATGTCAAGGAGTCTGCGGTAACATTTCATCTCAGTTGTCAGAATCCTTTTCTCCAATTCTGCTGTCAATGTCCACGACTCACAGGCGTATAAAATATTGAGATGACCGGGTGAGCGCATCAGTCTGATCCTCGAGTTGAGCATGATGTTTCTGTTCTTTCTAATAGCCTTCAGTTTTGACAGCGCAGCAGCCAACTGCATGGAGATCAGTGCCAAGAAAACAAGCTAATGACCAGTTACACCAATGGCATCAACGCGAACATCAAAGTCAGTGGCGAGAAACTTGAGACCGTTAACAGCTTCTGAGGTCTGTTTGGGTAATAATATAGATTTTAAAGCGCTTAGTGCGTTCTGTTGAGAAGGAAAAAAGCGCTATTATTATAGAAATGAAAGGTACAAGAGAAAAATGAGATGTCACTTTTTTGATAAAGTGAGTAATGTTGTGGGTTGGAAAGTATTTATGCGCTTCTTCTGGCCCATCTCAGTGTCCAGGGCTAAAAACTGAGGAGTCGCCCAACATCAGGCTTGGAATATAAGCTATAGCTTTACTATGGAAAAACGTGGGGTTTCAGGCATTTCATTTTTATTTTTTTTATCAAAATGTCAAAAAGTGAGATCCCATGTTTTTCATGTGTGCCCTTCAAATGTTATTATCATCATCATCATCATTACTATTATTATTATTATTATCATTATTATTATGATGATGATGATGATGATGATGATAATGATGATTATGATGATGATGATGATGCTGATGATGATGATGATGATGATGGTGATGATGATGATTAATTATTAATTATTTTTATTATTATTATTATCATTATTATTATTATTATTATAATTTTATTATTATTATTAGCCTATTATTGTTTTTATTATTATTATTACTATCATTATTATTATCTTTTTTATTGTTATTACCAGCAGTGTTTTCACACACGGAGAATGCAACTACTATTGTCCACCTAAGGTTTTTTTTGTTTTGTTATGTTTTTGGTGTTGTTGTTTTTTGGACACGATCTATCAGTCACATGTGCGTAAGTGCAAAAGATAAACGAAAGTGGCCTGCCTACACCTTGTCATTGTCGCCTCGTGCCTGCGTGGGTCGTAGGGTGATAATAAACTAAAGACACACATAGTATTTAAATGCTACTCCACAATTCCTCGTCACTTCATTTTGAACCAAGCTTTGAGACAGACCAGCAGCAGCACGAGCAGGGCTTCTACACTGTGAGTATCCTTACCGTAACAAGAAAACTCAAACACGCTGAAACATCTATCGTCCTCAGATTATTTTCGCCTCCTACTTCTTTAATGTGTATGTTACTCCCTGGGAACACCTCTAATCCCGGGCACTTGTATGGCTTACTTGTGCTGCAGGTGCTGTAAAACTCCTATGAAAACAAAGATTTAACCTGCACTTATTTCACACGTTTGATCTCCTGTAGTTATTTTTTTTATCTGTTTGTGTTGCAAGTGCAGTAGAGCTCTTACCAAGATTTTAAAAAACTACGCTTTCACATTGTTCGCACTGTCGGGCTCAGGTTACTAATGACTAGTCTACCAAAGGAGCCGTGTCTCTGCTGGCCAATATTGTAGCTTTATTATAATGCAACAGGTAGAAAGATCCATATTATTCACTGAAGTTTCGTTAAGAAGATTTTTTACGTCCCCTATTGATTTAATTTAGATTTAGAAGACGGGCTTCAACCCTGCCTGTCAGGGTCGATCTAGACCGAGAGGAATACATCATCCAAGCAAGATGACCGAGATACTCGATAAAAACTCTCTCCAATCGGGAATCAAACTCAGGTCTCTAGCATGCGAAAGTGAAGCGCACAGCCACTATGCCACAGACGCCAGAAGGGCATACGTGAACAGTAGAGGACGTTCTGAATCTCCTCGAGATGAAGGTTGATGTCGAAGTCGATACGTTAACTCTTTTACATCGCAGCGGACGCATAATAATATTATTGTTTCTTATCAGCTGAAGACCAAAGGCAATATGCTGCAGCACTGTTGGTACAATCATACACAGAATAACAATACATGAATAAGAACACGAATATGTTTACTTCATTACAATGTTCTGCATTTATTGTTGTCTGTCTTTATGAGTTTCAGAAAAAGAACGCAAAATTGAAGCATCTGTATGAATAATTAAGTAATGCTACAATCGTTTAATCCACCAGAAAAAACAAACAATCAAAACAGAACCCACCACAAAAAAACAAACAAACAAATAAACCAATAACAACAAAACAACCACAATAATCAAAAACAAAAACATAACAAAACAGGACATCTTCAAGCGTTGTCGAATAACCACAACGCGTACCTCGATGAGTTGAAAAGGAAACACAACATGTACTTTAAAAAAATAAGTTACGAAAACTCTCCTCACCAATCCAGAAGGAGAAAAAAGAAAACTATTGAGAAAACGTTCAAGTGACTCCCGAGTCGAAGTATAGGTATTTTAACTTATACTTTATCCTGTCTAACATTGGTTGATTTATTTTTGGGCACTCAACTTAAACTGGTAACCCCCCTCCCCCCCAAAAAAAATTAAATTTAAAAAAAATATATATAATATAAATAAAAAGGCAGCCCTTTTTATTGAGTATAAGATTTCGTCTTTTGAGGCTAAATAGCCTAAAAAGTAGGACATGCTATAAAAATAATGCTTTGGCGCTTCAATTAGGGTTCAAAACACCAACATAAAAAAGGATAATTGGCTTTTTTTAAATAAAAAAAAGACCTTGTAGCGGGGTTTTTTCCTATTCTTTGGGGGAGGGGCGGGGGGTGATAACGTTTATGCCTCTGTTTATGAGTGGCCCCGGTAACATTCAAACATTTTTACCCAAGAAAGATTATAGTAAATTCAACTCGACAGCAAAGAAATTGATCCGCCGACACACTCCTCGAGTTTCTGTTGTTACCAGGACATTCTTAAATTTTGTGTTTTCTTCGTTTTTTCCAGTTTTGTTTGTTTGTTTTTTGTTTTTGTTTTCATCTATAAATTATGTAGTCATTGCCTTGTAATCAATGATTGAACATCTGAAAACGGTCAAGATCAGATTTTCCACAGAGTTGGATAACACATATATTCTGTTTTATCATTTCAGTTCCATAAGTATGAAGTACACGATTCTTCTCGCCCTTGTTGCCATGGCAACAGCCGCGGACGCTGCATCCCTCTGCAAGAATGAGGATACAGCCGTGGCCGACCTGACGGAAGCCGCCATCTTGGAAACTGCGCCACCGGTGAACGTGACCCTGTACTACGAATGCCAGTGCGGCGGCTGTCAGCAATTCATTACAGACGTTCTGTCCAAAGCGGTTGACGTGCTCGGAGAGAAGGGCACCTACATGGACTTCAACTTTGTTCCTTACGGCAACGCTCAAGAATCTTATGACAAGTCCAAGAAAAGGTGGGTCTTCACTTGTCAGCATGGCCCTGGAGAATGTTGGGGAAACCTAGTGGAAACTTGCGCGATCCACTACAAGCCAAAGTTCGAGGATCACTACAAGTTCATTCACTGCTTTGAGGAAAACTTTTCCTACCCATCATCTGATTGGAAACCGGTTCTGGAGAAGTGCGGAAAACTCCACAATATGCCCGTGGAAGAGATCGGGTCGTGTGTGACCAGTGACATTGGGAACCAACTCGAGCACCAGATGGCGGAGAGGACCGTAGCCCACCATGTGCAGTGGGTTCCTTGGGTTATCATCAACGGAGTCTTCTACAAGGATGCTGCCGATGACCTCTTGACTGCGGTGTGCAAAGCTTACACCGGGCCCAAACCCAAGGGGTGTCCACAGTGAGCTTTGACTTGTGGTTTATGACGTCGTTGGTTTAGTAGTTAGGCTGTTTGACTCGAAATCGCAAGGTAGTGGGTTTGAGTCCCATCAGCAACCCGACGTTGTGTCCATGGGAAAGACACTGTACACAAAATTTCCTCACTTCACCCAGGTGGGAATGGGTACCCGGCTATTGACAGCGAAAGATCATGTCAGTTTGTTAGTGTTAGTGTTTGAGCGCTAAATCAGGAAGCCAACAAATTTTCGGAATAATTTAGGGTCTGCTGGGGTATTAATAATAATATAGACAGTAAAGCGCATAGACTTTGCCGTTGAGCTTTGGTATGCGCTAGACAAATGTCATTTATTATTAGTTGTATAATGAATGTTGATGTTGTTGTTGGAAATAAAATACTGTCAGAACTCAACTACTAAGAAAACACTTGGCCTTGTTAAGATTAAGTAGAACTTCTTTTAATATGTTATGAGACTTTACAGAGTGTGTTCTAATTTGAATACAAAGCATCTAACCTATAGTTCATTATTATAAAAATGATTCTATCTGTATGAAATAGGGAAGATTTGCCCTTTTTCCAGCAGCACAACGAAAGCTCAATAACTTGTCACGCGCAAAATGTTGTATTTTCTCACATTTCATAAAGTACGAATTAGCACCTCAAGCGCAAACATGATAGTAGGACCAAGCTAACAAACCACCCCCCAAAAAAACAACAACAACAACAACACCAAATAAATACAAAAAAACCACAAAAAAACTAATGACAAGCCACATTTTAAGAGTGCAGAGAAAATGGAATTGCAAAGTTTGAAAGTCCGTATATCATGGTGAGAATGGCATTTCTTTTACCTTAAATAGCACTGGACTTCTATAATGCGCTCAAGTCAAATATTTCCTAAACTATCAAACATAGACTCTCCAGCTTTTGCACAATGACTTGTATCAATTTGTCTTAACTGATCAATATTTCAAAAAAAGAAACACGTTAGCTTTTTTCTAGAAAATCTCTTAATAAATACTAATAAAACATCCAAGTGGGTGGTTTCTACAAATTTTTAAAAAGTTTACAGCTGCGACAATATCGCTTGTAAAAACAAGTCCGTCTTTTTTTCTAATCGCGACACTATGCTTATTGAACTCAAATTTTCAGTACAATTTAGTGCAAACATTTCTCCACTTTAAAATTAATTTTTTGTTAACGTTTTGCCACTAAAAAGTGTCATTGGTGAGCTGAGACGTAGGCCATACGGATAAAATATACAAAAATGTGTGTGCGAAGCAGGAAGTGCTGTGAACAATCTCATTTTTAGCTTGACGGAAGATTTGTAGTATTTTATATAAATTTATAAAGAAAAGCTTTTTTCATCTAGTCTCAATGATTTTGGAACAATATGATTAAGTTAAGACAAATTGATACAAACTGCTCTGCAAAGTATGGGTGACATTGATTCAACATTTGATATATGTGAGGATAAGTTGCGCCCCGTATTTTTGACGCGCTATAGTTGGGTTATCCGTGGGATCAGTTGCAGAGAAGAAATTTCGATTTTTTAAGAAAATGCAACAAAGAAGATTTTTTTTAAAAATCATTCTCTTCTAAAATTGTGGCTCATCTATTAATTCCACGGAAGTCTTCAATTACTTTTAAAAAGAGAGAACATTTCCGCCTTCGTAGTTTTAGTTGAGACTTTGATACAGCCCTACTGGGCACGTCAAGCTCCGAGACTGCCCTGTCTTGTAAACAGGAGTACACAAATTGTTAACGCTTCATCATCATAACGTGCTAGGTCTGAAACAGACATCGGCGATCATGGTTCCCTATAGATTCATTTCTCCCCCTGGAATGCTCTCTAAAAAAGTTATCCTGGTGTGTTTCCCCGTCATTCGCTAGTTCAGGTTTTTCCAAATACGTTACTTTGGGTCTACCAGTTCTGTTTGCCTTCAATTTGTTTCCAACGAGAGTAAGTAAGATAATCAAAAAATTTATGTTGATTTAAGTGTCCCAGTAAACTGCATTTGTCGCTTCTAAATTGTTCCTATTAGTGAGTGGCCCAGAGACAGCGTACACAAAAGATATTCCCTTCTCTTCTGAATGACACAGTTTCTTTAGCGCTATTGCTCAAAGCAGGTTTGGGTTTCCCGAGTATGATACAGCACAAGGACCTGTCAAATTGATTAACAATGTAGGTATCGATAAAAGCAAACCATAATCACGTAATACTATTAATCAAACATGAAGTACAGGCTCTGTCACACTCTGTGTTATTAGTTTATCGCTTGATAACGGAGAGACTAAGTCTACTGCAGGGCTTACTATTCACCTCTTTGTAAATCGTCAGTGCTCTATATAACTCGTGATGTGATGTTTTGTAATTATATAATGAGGACATACAGATAAGTCACAATATTCTAAAAGAGTGTGGTGTTTTTGCCTCCTTTACTGCTTTCTTTAAAAATCCCCCCCCACGATAATCCCATGGTTAACCCAGCCCACGTAGAGTAAAATAAATGGTTTATTCACCACGAAATACTGCCTTTTGAAATTTCGAATGACCACTTTCTCCACTTTCCTAAAATGTGACTTATCTGATCTGGTTTTTCCACTGGAGTCTTCAAACGGTGTGCATCCGGTCCTTTAACACACCTTCTTGTCAGTTTATTCCAACGGTAATCAACAATTGTCGCAAGCAGGAGGGCGATTTGGCTTTTTTATACGTTAATTATACACCATTTTCAACACTTTATAGTTGGTTGAGAGGCGTGGCCTCCGAATTTATTGGTAATCTCTGATAGGACCGCGCCAGAGAGTTGGAGAATCTTCATACTCTCCAAAACAAGTCAAGTTCAGACCGCCCCGCTGGGATTCGAACCTGGGTCATCCGCTCAGTAAACTACACTGTATCATGATACCAACCAAGCTTTTAAAGGCCCAAGGAGCGAACGAGAAAAGAAACCGTTCTGAGGGCTAAATCCAGTTAGTAGAACAAAAGTTCCCTTGTGGGCCGATGTTCACCCTTTGCAGGCGAAAATGATCTTGATTTCACATCACATGATTTTAACTTTTGTTTTTTGTCGGGGTTTTGGGGGAGGGGGGGTGTAGGGAGATGGCTAATCAAGCCGATCTTCGCCCCGGAATGTCTATTGAAGTGGGACCAGGGGACGTATGGTGCTGTACTACTCGGCTGGGATGTGAGGCACTCTCAACTTTTCACAGCTCCGCCGTAAGCTTACAAAAGCACCATAAAAAGAAAATTAACAGCAGTATTGAGATAAAGAGGCTTTTTTCAGCGTAACCATAAGAAGGTGTTCTTACGAAATGTTAAAGTTAATCTTTCGAAAACGAGTCACAGTTTCACTTTCATATTTTTTTCACATAATTAGGGTAACTGATCAGGCTTTTGATTTAGAATATTTTTTAAAGGCGCCTAAAATGAAGAAAGGTGTTTTGTCAGCTTACAGCAGAGTGGCGTCTCCGTTCTTCGCCTCGGGAGCGTCTGAAGTTGCTCGGATCATGTAAATTTCACGAGCATAACGAGAACCATGGGTTTTGATCAAATCGTAACCAGCCATTCGATGTTTACCTAAATTAGTAGCAAAGTCATTTAGAAATTAGAATCTGCAAAAGCGAATCGTTCCTCTCCCTGAGTTTTATTTCTTCTATTTCTGTCTCTTCCCATGGTTCCAAACAGTCTCTGGTAGTTTTGGGGTTTTTTTGGTATCGTTTGTTGTTTTATTCGTTTGTTCTTTGGCAGTAGACTGCTTTTCAACAAAAAAGGGGGGAGGGGAGGGAATTAATATGGTGGGAAACGGCGAGACTGACAATATTTTGAAAGAAAATAATTTTTTATTTAAAGATCTGTTTTTAAAAAGTGTATTCCGGTCTTTAACACATACTGAAAAAACGCACAATCTATGCTTACACGAAGGCGACAAAAACAAGCCAGTTTCAGGAGTTGAACTCATGGACAGGGACCTTTTCTCCGCTTCGCTTGCTCTTATGCTGGCTTCTGTGAGATGGCTTGTAGCAGTGGGGTGCGGACTGTAAACTTCTTGTTCGCGTCTCCATCTTGCCACTCAGTGAACCTGGACAGAGAAGAGGGGAGATCAAGACATGTGGTAAGGTAGACTGACTCTTCAAGGAGGTCCAAAAGTTTGAGAAAGGTTTTTGTCATCGATATGTTATATACATATAAGTGTTTTTCACGCCCCGATCGACAACAAATTTAGATAATTTACGAGCTGGGCTTCCGAGCCTGACTGACTTTCAGGGCCTACTCGAACTGAGAGGGATACAACATCCCAGGAGAAAGACGGGGATACTCGACAAAAATTCTCCCTATACAGAAATCGAACTCTGGTCTCCAGTGTGTGATAGCAAAGGCTTAACCCCTATACCACAGACACTGGTTTTGCCATCGATTTGGTCTTCGATTTATCAAGGGTCATGTGGTGAAAATACTCGTAGTAACATTTCGTGAAAGTAAACTTGGGCCTACATTCCAAACTTATTTGGCCTGTTACACATAACCAGGGGCTCCACTCGGATGCATTCCTTTTGGACCAGTTTTTGTAACACCCGATCACTTTTGGACCAGATGAACAGGTAAATTTATTTCATCAGGTAGTAATCGGCCAAAACAACGAAAACAGTTTAACAGCATATCGAAAACATTATTTAGGTCAATGAATGTCAGAGAAAAGCGTAATTCTGCTTACCATACTGACTTTATTTTGAGAATGCCTTACCCTGCCTAGCTGTGTTTTTAGATTTGACTTTTAAATTGTACCAAGAGCGCGCGTGCGTGTGTGTGTGAGGGGGTGTTTTTATGTGTGTGTGAAGGTGTGGTTTTTATGTGTGTGTGGGGGGGGGGGGGGTATTTACACACTATTCACGCTTACTAGAGTGCTTCAAAGTGGTGCATTAAAGAAACAGGCAAACAAAATGAACTTTAATTCAGCTGCAAAATGACAGAATCCTAAATATCTATGCTGCTCGAGGTCCTACTTCCACTTCAAGGAACTTTGTAGTCAGAAGGAATTCTTCCCTCCACTCTTCACAGGGTCACATTTTGGTCGCCTTGCGTCTTTGTAAATGACGATATGAGAACTAGGGTTCCAAACTAACTTTTACCCGTGTTTCAACGAGAGGTGCAATTTCCACGAGGGAATGGTCATCCAGGGTGTACAAAGTTGTCGTGGAAGTACTGGTGAAAGCTGTGAGGGAGAAACTGCCACTGCCGTTGCTGTGTTTATTTACAGTTGAGGGAAATGGAAAGAGGATGAGGAGGGACGGAGGGGGAATGGAATGAAGGATAGTATTATATTTGTGAACGTTCGTCACTTTGGTCGCCTAAAACTTCGGAAAAAATTGAAGTTTCGAATTTGAAAAAATGAACAGTGGTTCAGAATTTAAAAGGTGCACGGTTATATTAAGGATTCTAAAGTCACTGTAGTTTAACTATCAGTTTTTCATTACTTTCTTTCAGATCTAATCTTGGGAACGTCCGTCTTTTGAGACGCCTTTGTAAACGAGTGAGGCTTCCGTTCACAACCAGTGAGCACTGGTTCCATGCAATGACTTGACGATCGATTCTTTTGAGTCCGTTCATCGAACGGGTACCCAGCTAGTGAAGGATAACGGAAGAGAGAAAGAGTGGGAACAGAGGTACTGGATAAAAAGAGAGGATGGTGAGAAAAAAAAAATGAAAGCTAGAAAGAGAATGAAAGTTTGGGTGGGGTGGGGATGAGAATGGAGAAGACGTTTAGGGATATGGAGACACTGGGGGCGGGGTGGAAGAGGAGGAGTTGTAGAGAACAATAGGGAGTGAGAGAGAAAGGAGATGGATAGATAGTAACATAGCGTGGTAGAGAGAGTGAAATCGGGAGAGACGGGGTGGGTGAGGGAGAATGGAGAGGAGAAAGAGACTTTGGCTGAGAGAGAGCGGGAGAGAGAGGGTGAGAGAGAGAGAGAGAGAGCGAGTGGGAGAGAAAGAGAGCGAGAGAGAGAAAGGGGGGGAGGGGAGACATTACTGAAACCTAAGTTGTTCTTACATTTTCAAAAACTCCTGGCGAAATCCTTGATGGCTGCGGTTGAAGGCAGTAAAGTTGTGTATGGTCAACAGAGAATTAAGGGCACTCTCGGCCGTATGTTCAGCTGTGTTATAAGCAATTGGGTACCTGGAAAAGGGTTTAAAAGAATTAGAGTTACGATGTAATTGTGTAGGAGCGTGGTGAAATCGGGCACTCGACAAAATAATGAAATCGAAGAAACCAACATTTTTTCCAACCCCTGGACAATTTTGAACCGTCTGTGTGCTTTGAGCGACCGTATTTCGGGCTAATATCACATACATATATACATATAATAATATATATATAATAATAATATATATATATATATATATATATATATATATATATATAGTCGAACCTGCCTGAAACGGAAACCTGTATAAAACGGAAACCTGTCTTAAGGGAATCTCCCCGTTCCCCCCTTGATATTCCTCTTTAATAACCTGCATAAAACGGAAACCTATCCCACACGGAAACAGAAAGAAAAATCCGCTCTCTTCCAATTGTGAGAAAGCCTAGGTTTCACCTGTCTAAGATGGAAAATGATTTGCCTGCTCAGCCCTGATTTGAAACAAAACTCGCAAGTTTGGTTCCGCCGGTTCTAAACTTAACGCCATGACCATGCCGCTGGGCGATGAAGGGGAAAAGGGGTGCAATTTGGGGGTAGACGTTACCCAAGGACCTAACTGTATAACCTCCTTGATGTTACCCTATCTATATGGGCCCTGAGAGATGCAGATGGTCAGGGTGGTGTGGATGTAAAATCTCACGACTGCCCGTTGGAGTGCTCGAGTACCGAGCCACTACGCAAACCTTTCTGTGTAGCCAGAAGTCAGAGGTGGGAAATTAGATTGACCAATGCCTGCCGCCCTGATCGTACGGCCATTGAGAAAAGAGTTCCTCGAATCGTTGTTACATGGCAGCGAGGGGGGGCATTGGTTGACTGTGCTTGTTACACCGGTGGGAAGCAAAGGAGATTTTCAAACCTTTCTGTTTTTAATAGGTCAAACAATGGTCCCATGAAAGGCAAGCACTGGTGGTAAATTGGATAAGTAAGACTGACGCATGTCATTATCAGATAGGATAGCAATTGAGAGGTGTGAAGTTTTGACCACTGCTTGCCGATCGGACAAGCGATCCTTGGTCCACTGGCTGGGCCTTTGACCCCCACACACACACACACACACACACACACACACACATCCCCCCCCCCTCCCATCTCTCACTAATTTCTCATGTCTAGGACGGAAAATGTCTTAGACTGAATTCTTTTAATGGCTCCCTTGCGATTCCGTCTTACACAGGTTCGACTGTATACCTCATCTCTCCCAGCATTCATCCGTCTCTCCTCATCCCTCTCCCGTACCTTCCACCCTTCCCCCACTTCCAATTCCGCAAACCCTCCAAAATATATATATATATTATAATGCATATATGTATATATTATTATTATATATATTAGATCAAATGTACATCTCTGTCCCTTTCTCTAACTGCCCTTTCCTATTTTAGATCAAATTATGGATCCACAGCGGTGGCGACTCCGATGCCCTGACAGGCAATACTGCTAATTTTGTTTTTATCTTTAAGTTTGTAGCGCCTTAGAAGCACGACTCCAACGTGCAAACTGGCCTAGGTTAGAATAATGTTGAATAAACAATAATTTTGTCTGTACTGAGTTCACAACTCGACGACCTGTGAAGTTACTGCAAGTTGTGTTCACCCCATACTAATCGAAGTTTCAAGACACTAAGATTTATTTTCAGAACGGCACACTCACTTGACTGACTTGGTGTAGGGCAACCGAAGGTCTTTGAATTCTGAGAAAGTTTCTTGTTCGGCTACCCCTTCCATGTTTGGAAGCATTGAGTAGATCTAGAATGTAGACAAAGACAACTTGGTGGTGACCTGAGTCCCCAAAAAACGCAAAGTCCATTACCACAACAGAAAAAAGAACTTATACGCTGACTTTTGTCGGATATAATGATGATGACGATAATAATAATGATGATGATGATGATGATGATGATGATGATGATGATGATGATGATGATGAT